ACTATGGACCAAGATGTATCTCTTTATCTCCTATTACCTTATCTAGTCAATCAATGAATGCAGACCGGTTCTTGAAACTCTGTTGGTACGCCAGGACAAGATGAGGAATGTGTGAGCTTTGCGCTTGGAAGACCTTGATCCCCTTGGCCTGGGCGTGCCGACAAGAGTTTCAACGATCGATTCCTGTGTGTGAGACTGAAGCTAACTTTAAAGAAGGAACCTCTGAGCACAGTGAAGAGTGTTATACAGGTTTTGTTTCCCAATCCCCTTCAAATAGCAAGAACTGTGAATACCGTTACTACACCTAATAATCATCCTAGTTCGGACTCCATTGCCAGATATTTCCTGCCTAAATTTCCTTATTCCCTAAACATCCTCTAACTCTCTCCTTCTTTCACTTTCATGTCGTTTAATCTCTAAAGGAAAGAGTTAGTTTGTCTGCATGCTGTCATGCTGTGATAATGCGGCCAATTTCATCATTTCGAAAGCTCACCTAGATTATCTCTTCCCTGCGAATCGATAGCTTAGCCTCTGTTTCACCTGATTATTTCTCTTTCTTTATTCAATGGGCCAGTTGCACTGGTAACAGAATCATGTTTTGATGCTTGGTTCTAGTAGATTAGCTCTTAATAAAAAGGTCTGTCGTCAGTCCCAACAGCAACTCTCTACCTTGAATATCAACGGAGATATCTCACCTTGACAAACTCGATTTATGACGTCATCCACTGCGGTAGTGCGTAACATGATACGTCCTACCGTGATGGATAACATCATAAATCAAGTTTTTATAGGCGAGATACCTTGGTTAGTATTCAACGAGAAATTTGCTGTTTGGCCAGATCTTATCATTTTTAGTTGATCTGCATGAGTAAAGTATCAAAACTCGATTCTGAGACCAGCACAACTGACCTATTCTTCCACTCCAATGTTTTATTTCCATTGTTTCATGTCTAAATTTTTTCGCAATTACCTGTTTACTCTGCTCACTAGAGGTGTTGTCAGCTAAGTAGGCACTTGTTTACATTCCACTTGGAAGCAATAGACGCCGTTAGTGGCGATGTCATCATATGGATTCTCCATTATATCGAATTGGATCCATACATTAAAATTGGCGTAATCTCTTTCATTGCTACTACTTAATGTGAATAAATCAATGTATTTATCGCTTTTTTGTGACGTGCCACTTATAGCGTCACTATAGGGGATTGACTGCAGCCTGATCGTGAGCTTAGTCAATCCTCGATTATTGTTGGATGCCTACATTATAGCTGCTTGTGTATGTTATGTATTCAAGTGCCAACTTAGCTGATGACACCTATACCTCAAGTTAGCAGTATTACTTCTGATAGTTTTACACAAGTTTGTCCTACCTCTTCAAGGCTTAAAGTTATTTTACCAATTTTATCTACTCTCCATTGTTAACCATCTTTGGTATTGAATCGTGCAACACTCAAGAATATTTATTTTCGGTTTTCCGTGTACTCTCCGTTTTTAATCGATTAGAGTGGGTATGTTTTAAAACCATTCATTTCTCTATGACCATTATGTCTTTGATGATTTTTTGCATAAATGAGTCAACCTCTCTCAATGGCAGCAGATAAGCTAACATTAACTGATGCCTTATCCAACGTCAACACCTTAGATGAGCTTAGGTTACCTGATGAACAACCGTGTATCACAGCTCAGCCATGCTCTGTCATTTATCAAGCTAACTTCGTTACCAACTTCGAAGACTGGAATGGGTCCGTCACTGGCGTCAATGGGAAGTACATTGAAGAAGCTACCGTTCACGCCAGTTTGGGAAGCTTCACATTCCTGCTGCTTGACCATCGTTAATCCGTTTAATTCAATGGATGATTAATGATATTCTATGATTTTTAGAAAAATCATGCTTTTCCAAGATAATTTTGAGTATAATGAGAGAAAATCATAAGTTTTTAGCAGGGAATGAATAACATCAAGAACTACCGATAACATGCTTCAATCGATACTCAGAAAAAATGATATGACTCTTTCACTCTTACCTAAATCATTACAGGGCTACAGCAGGATCAGAAAATATCATATCCAAAAAGTTAGTTCCATGCAAGTGTTTTCAACTTAAAGCAGACATTTTGAAAATCGGTAGAGGCTTCTATTTTAGAGTAAAATCATTAATTATGTATTTCGTTGATGAAAGGTCATTTGAACCTTGATTTCAATTTTGAAGATTTCAAACTATCCAAGGAACCCATTGCAGATCGACCTTTAAATGTAAATGTATCAATTTTTGAACCTTTATAGTATATGCACTGTAAACAGTCAATAGGTTTTTTTATTGACGCTTAATCGACACCGGTTCTGGTCGTTTTGAAAATTCAGAGCTTTTTCATGTTGTGACTTTGAAGTTGTCAATCTACCAATCCTGTAAAATATCTATTTGTAATGCTCCAGAATGAACTTTTGGAAGATGGCTTGGAACAAGTGGTCATGCTGTCAACGTGGCGATGTTGCTCTCGAGCCATCCCACAATCGAAGTCCAATGAGCAGTCAAACTGGGTGGAAATCTATGAAAAGACTGTTGAAGTATTAGCTCCTGAAGTGAACAAGCTGCTTAATTTCATGTATTTTCAGGTGAGCATTCTAATTTTGTCAGTTTTCGACATTCGGTAAGTAATTAAAGTGGTGTATTTTAGGTGAAAACTTGCATCACGTTCTCTACCAATGTGTCTAAGAAGTGTAACTGATCTTGTTCGGGCCAGAAAAACATGTAAGAAAAAAAGGATATTTGAATGCTTCAAATCACAATTTCTACTTATTGCCACAATGCTTGAACTCAGTTTAGGTTACCACCTGTAGTCTTTAGTTATATAATTAAAAGACAAATAAGTAAACGAAAGTATATCAATTGCACTGATAAAATGATTAAATTAATTATCTTTGTCTTTAAAATTAAACATATTTATTTAATTAACTCAAATTACTTCCCTCTGCGTTTTAGTTCCGTGCAAAAACTGGTGATGGTGCCCATATTGCACAACCGTGTGATCTTTTATTTATTTAGTATGAATTGGTACAATTGAAACAATGAAAATTGTTACAGTACATGCCAAATATCGGTCACCGTGCCTGAAATTACCTGGCGCATTTAGCAAGAAAGGGGTCTTGGCTGTGGACTTGTCAAAGGTCTTAGTCTTTTTGATTTTCATTCAGTTTTTCCGTCTATTGACTTCCATCTTATTTTTGCCAATATTCATCGGAAAATTTCATTTTTTCTAGGATTTATGGCATAGGGTTAGATCTCAATTGATTATACAATGATAAATTCTCGTTTGCCAAATGATAATTACTTTTTTGAACTATTGCCCTGAGGGAAGTTTCATGCTTTCAGAGAGGAAACTGCTGTGTGAATCTTCTGAAAATTTTCATCTAGAGAATCATAAAATCATGAAGAATATTCAGTAGGAGTTTCAGCAAATTACATACATTTGCTTGATCATAATTGATGAAAAATTGGTGAAGATTCTGGAACACTGCAACTGAAGAGTGTCCTTTCTGTGCTTTGATTTTCTCAAAAATTGGAATTACTTAATAAATCCTAATAATGAATTTGAATTTCACTCCATCATTCTCTTCATACTTTACTTTGATTACACAACACAACAAATTTCCGGTTCTGGTTTGTCCTTCAAACCAAACCAATTTTTTTCGTTTCCTCGGTGCTACAGTAGTCTAAAAATGCCCATAGAAACTTCAGGAAAATCGTCTGGTGCTCAGGACGCCGCCATTTTGAATTTTTCAAATTTGAGAAAACCCACGATTAGATTTTTGCAAATATCTCCTCAACGGCTCATCCCACGAAAAAACAAAAAAACCAACAGAAAGAACATAAAATCTCCTACCGAAATCACTCTCCCCTGTTTTATCTGGCTTACTTTGCTGGTCATAAAATTAACGTTTTCTTCAAAAATTAGCTTAAAGAAGGCGCATTTTTGCTGATTTTAGGAGAAACTTTGCTTTAAATCTCCAGCCACGATTATCTGAGAAAAAAACTGTTACGCTCATTGAAAAGAGCGTAAAATTTACTGCTGGAAAACATATCAATAGTTCCTAATCTTGATTATATTCTGTGAAACAGCAGTTTATTAGCTCGGCCCTTAAATTGTGACCATCACCTTTCAAAACAAGAAAAAAAGAAGGAAAAAACCTAAAACCGAGGCTCAAACTGTGTAATAATGTGGTAAAATAATGCTGGGCCCACACTATATGGATGAGGGGGGGGGGTGCCAAAAAATTCTATCATTTTCTATCAGAGCCAATATTTTTGAGCTCTAATGAGGATCAGTACGAAACTGATGGGGGAGTGTTCAGCCCAGGCAGTTTGCATTGGACTATTAAGGTGAGGTAACGTCGAGAAATCAATAATTTTGGGTTTTTTTACACCTCATCAGTAGATCACACTAGTCAGTGAGATCAAAAGCCCCAAAATTCAAAAATTTTCAATTAGAATCAAAACTAGTGAGCTCTAATGAGTACTAATACGAAACTTACCGTCTTGCAGTACAGAACTTGTACCTCGAACTTGTGCTTTGATGCTGTCTTGGATTTTGCAAGATTTTCAGTTGGATTCACTGACTAGTGTGATCTACTGATGAAGTATAAGAAGACCCAAAATTATGGATCCCTCAACGTAACCTCAACTTAATAGTCCAATGCAAACTGTCTGAGCTGAACACTCTTCCCATCAGTTTCGTACTGATCCTCATTAGAGCTCAAAAATATTGGCTCTGATAGAAAATGATAGAATTTTTTGGCACCCCCCCCCCCCCTCCATATAGTGTGGGCCCAGCATTATTTTACCACATTGTTACACAGTTTGAGCCTCGGTTTTAGGTTTTTTCCTTCTTTTTTTCTTGTTTTGAAAGGTGATGGTCACAATTTAAGGGCCGAGCTAATAAACTGCTGTTTCACAGAATATAATCAAGATTAGGAACTATTGATATGTTTTCCAGCAGTAAATTTTACGCTCTTTTCAATGAGCGTAACGGTTTTTTTCTCAGATAATCGTGGCAGGAGATTTAAAGCAAAGTTTCTCCTAAAATCAGCAAAAATGCGCCTTCTTTAAGCTAATTTTTGAAGAAAACGTTAATTTTATGACCAGCAAAGTAAGCCAGATAAAACAGGGGAGAGTGATTTCGGTAGGAGATTTTATGTTCTTTCTGTTGGTTTTTTTGTTTTTTCGTGGGATGAGCCGTTGAGGAGATATTTGCAAAAATCTAATCATAGGTTTCCTCAAATTTGAAAACTTAAAAATGGCGGCATTAGCTAAGTCGCCACTTGTTAAGATTCCACTCGCAAGCAATTGCGATGCAATTGTCCAACAGCAATAAAAGATTAACAGCAGCCGGATCGTGAGCTTAGTCAATCCTCGATTCCTGTTGGATGACTACATTATAGTTGCTTGCAAACAATATGTATTCAAGTGCCGACTTAGCTGACGACACCTCTACCTCAAGTTAGCTGTATCGCTTCTGATTTTTTTACACAAGTTTGTCCTACCTCTTGAAGGAATAAAGTTGTTTGACCAATTTTATATACTCTCCACTTTCAACCTCCTCTGGTTTTGAATCGTGCAACACTCAAGAATATTAATTTTCGGTTTACAGTGTATTCTCCGTTTTTAATTCAGTAGAGTGGGTATGTAGAACAAGAACTAAAGCATTTTGCCATATACCTTGTACCTTTGTAAACTTTATTTGAGAGGAGTTAAACTCCTGTTAGAGGTGACAACTTCAGCGGTAATCTTACTGTATCACTCTCCGCACTGTAGGACTGGCTAAATGATTTGCTATAGACTGTTTACACAAGTAAAAGTAGTCAGCAAAAAATCGATAAGTGTCGTAGTGAGTGGTGTTATTTTCGGAAGGTTGTTTTTGCAACATTAAAAACCTGCCCATCATATTGAAAAAATAAAATAAAAGAATAAAAGAATCTTGAATAAAAGAAGCCCAAAGAATTTTGTTGTCTTCTTCCTAATGTAGATTCCTCCTTTTTACAGATTTAAAAACATATCAAAATGGCGCCAGAGCCACTGGATATCTCTGAGCATGAGTTGCTCTTCAAAGCAACCAATTTATCCAAACTGGCCTCCATAGATTTGTCCCAGGTATGAGTTATAAATATTTTTCATCAAGTAACATTTTTTTGTTAGTCAATGAGAACTGGAATAATTTTTTAGGACAAACAGCTCATATTTTTTCTGTTCTTTTTTCCTTATATTTTAGTTCAAAACCTGTTAGAGATCTCTCCTAAATTGTTGCAGGCTCAAGAAATGAATTTCAAATTCAGAGTATTGCATTAGAAAACTGGATTTCTCAGTTGATGCGTAGTGTGCTCTATTATAATTAATAATTAACATTTTCTGTATTTTAAAATCCAAGAGGGCAGGTCAAGAGTTGAAATATTTGCCGAGTATTGTGCTAAGAAGCGAGAACCTATTTGCGGTCAGTTTTTGAACTTGTTGAATGGATCTGATGGATTCATTGTGAATATGTCTGCCAGAATAATCGCCAAGATTGCCTGTTGGAACCCATCTGCCAATTTACTTGACAGCTCTGATTTCACTTTTACCTGAATCGGTTGAATGGACAATTAAAATTGAGTGTAAGTTAAATGGATCAATGATTTTCTGCTATTACTTCTAATTAATTCAGTAATGCATCCGTTGTCCTCAGAATTCTGTTTCTGCAGGTGCAAAAAGTTCTAAAGCATCTTGCCTTTGCCACATGATCCGGCGGTCTCTACTTCTTAGCAAAATTTTTGATGAGAAAAGAGAGAGAAAAAAAAGACATCACTTTTTTAAAATTGCATCACTCGATGTTGATTGTTGATGATTGCTTATTTCCTGTGATTGCTAATTTCCTACGATATAACATCAAATAAATAAGGAGCTAGGTGGCACAATGGTGTGGGGGAGCGCACGTTGTTCTTCTGGAAAACTGATATTTCCATACAGCATACCATAAGGCACTACTGCACCAAATTTCATGACGGTATTTCAAGATTTGAGCAAGTTACAGGATTTTTTTTTTTTTGCAAGGTTACGATTCTGTGACAATAATCATCTAGGTCATGACTGTTATCTGTCAAAATTTCTGTACAAATTCTCCACATAGCTGAAAATTGGCTGGTCTTTTAAGGTTTTTTCAATGCACGACCCCATTATAGCTGAGGAAGAGACCCTTCTCACAAGCAGCGATGGTGAAAGCAAATGTGAGGCTGAAGATTCATGATGTCTCGATTGATGAACTCAGTGGAGCTGGCCCTTCTTAATTTTGTCCCCTTTACTCCTAGACATGTATTGAGGGGGCTTATAAACTTTTTCAACATAAATATGCTTTTTTTAAAAATAATAATAATCTTTTAGTAGTTCCCTTTCCTTGATAGCCTGTAGTTCTCTTGAAAAACGACCTCTGTAGCGCTTTTGTAAATCTCATTTTAAATATGTCAAATACTGTATTTCAGTAAATGCAATGGTACCAACCTCTAAATGAAGGTTTGATCTATCATTTTTGTCAAACCCATGATCTCAAAATCTTTAGTGTATAGCTGGTAATCATTAGAGTACCTGTACAGCAAGAGTATAGACAGGTGTGAAACTCAGAAAATTAAATCCATCAGGCCTTCACCGATGCCTGCGCAAACAAGGCTAGGGCTCAAAAGGGCAGCCAACCTATGAATTACATACATCCAGAACGATTTATTATTATAATTGTCACAACCTGTTATAACAATGAAAACAAGAACATATTTGACATAGTTTTTGCATAAATTTACTAAATTTTGAAGAACGCACATTTATGAACATTCTTTGCCATCTTGATTTGAATTGTAATCTGAAAATTGGCAGTGAAATTTTGTGTGTTAAAGAGCTGGCTACCCGTTTGGGCCCTAAACCCTCCATGAAGCAAGCTGTCCATACTCTCAGTATACAGGTACTCTAGGAATCTTGTCTTAAAATATTCAACCTTCGTTTTCTCAAACCGCTATTTTCTGACTCATGCCGTTTTTCCACCTAAATCCTCAAATGTGATGATCTGGAAAAGTCCGACTTAATTTTCAAAGTAAACTCTTCAAGCAAAAGAAAATGAGTGAATCTGCTGGAAAAGTCACCTTTTAATATTTGAACTTGCATTAAAAAATCCCATCTCTTCTGAAACAGATAGAATTTTTCTTAAACTTCTTAATCCACACCCTTCTCATTTAAGTATGCCCTAGGTACTATCAGTGGGCACTTTACAGTGGGCCTCAGTGCAATCTTGATCTGACGTCTTCAGGATGCGTTTACTGATTTCATCGAATTTGTTGTCTTTTAGGGAGAGGACTTCTT